CTGAAGCAGCGGATAGTGCGACCAGCACTGATATCATCTACCTCAACTTTTCTAAAACGTTCAACCAGTTAACTAACCGAAACCTTCAAGGAAAGTTACAAAAATTAAAAACTTGGAATCCTATCCTTGGAAGGATCGAAAATTTCCTTATTTAGAGGCTGCCTCAGGCTCGAGGCTCATTTTCTTATTTTATTGATGTGGACTGCGATGTTTCTCAAGGATCGGTGTTTGAACTGCAGAGATTATTGGTCTTCATCAATGAACTTTCGTGTATCAGTGAGTCAAATTTCCTACGTTTTACCAATGGCATGAAGATATGCTGAGCAATTGGTAGTAAGGATAATCACGATAAGCTGCAAGGAAGCAAGCACCGTGTTTTTGCTTAGTCGTAGGCAACTCTGCGTCTGCTGCTGTAGTGTAAGAACCTGTCTGACTTCCAAAGACTGTGACGAACTACTAAAGTTGCACCAAAATACCCACTACTCATTGCTAAGTAAAAGGTAATGTGTCAGCGGTAAGCCGTAATGGCGCTTCGCTGCCGCGCGACCACCACCAATAGAGCGTGGGCTGAGTGTACCGTGAGCACGCCCACTCCTATGCGGGTTCCAACCGGTGACCTCATGGTTGCAAACCAGGAGCGCAGGCCACTCGGCCACCGGCAGACACCACAAATTAGTGGTCAAACTTCCGTACTTATAGCTTCTGTTTTAAGTCGTACACAGTCGCTGTGCGAAATCGTGGTTCTGGGGCCAATCACTGTCCTCTGCACAGTTCGTAACTGGCGTGGCATTGGAGAATGTGCTACGCTATTTCATAGTCAGCCGCCAGTCGTGCATCTGCAGCAGTCCCCCATGGCTTAGTGGCGTAGGCTAGTCGCATCCGAAAATCATGAGGTCGGAACCTGGCAGGGGTCAATAACGCGCACCACTGACGCCATCCAGAAGATCTAAACGGCATTCAGGTGCTTTTCCAGACGTGAGAAAGCCTGCCTGCCTGAGAGGGGATCGCGAAAAACTACATGCAAATCTACTTGCGTTCAACGAGGGCAGTGTAAAAGTGTACATGAACGCCAAAAGCTCACTTACCCATTTAGTTTGGAGAACACATAGCGAAGGTCGCCTCACAAGAGCAAGAGCATGGGATGGTGATACTAGGCGACTTTGAAGGCGCCCAAAACCGCGAACCAAATATGTCGCTCCCTTAGGAAAGCCTTCGGGCGGTTCGCGCCCTCCACCTTCCTTCACATCTTCAAGGCATATGTGAAGCCCCATGCAGAGTAGCGATTCAAGCCTGGCAGCCCTGACCGTAATGCGTTTCTGTTGCACTAGAGACCACGCAGCAAAGGGTGATCAAATATTTGTAGGGGTTTTGTTACCCATCATCTATAACTGAAAGCTCCAGGAGTGCGGAGCATAAATTATGGCAGTCTACAGCTTGACCTCATTCTGACATACCAGCTCATATACTCCCTTAAAGCCTGCTGCCACATCCTAAAATTTAGTAGCAACACAAAACTGAGGGTTTAAGATCTGAAAATGGCCACTCAATACAGTCGACAGAAACGAAAAGGGACTTATTTTTTCATTCGAATTTCTCGGACGAAATGCAGTTGACTCTTTATTCCTGCGCCTACGTTGCTGAAAAAGCAATTTGACAGCGCCTTCCAGCATTTGCATTGCTTGATTTGAATCCCGCTTAACAAGTGGTGACAAGTTGTCGACAGACATTGTGCTCACCAACCCGCGCGGTCTGTGTCAACATATATATGGCCGTGTTGACATGGATATTATGGTGAGTTCACAGATACGCGTTTCACCATGGTGTCATTTCCTTTTTGAGGTTATGTAATTCATGTAAATCATCTTCCTGGGCTTGTCAAGTCATAGGATTTTTTACCCGTATCATGCCATTGTCCGGTGCTTGGTTTCCCTCATATACTGTCGTTCAATGTCCACCTTAAAAATGGACCTCCGCCTAGATTTCACTCGATAAGCCGTACTGGCTCAGCCTAACAGTCATGTTCTACGTGTCGGAGACTTCAACTTACACGCACTATAGTTTCCGAGCGTACTTGATGAGCTGCTTTACGCCGACATCCAACAACCGATCGCTGGTCTAGCACTTTATTTCCTCTAAGAAATGCAGTATGGGACACAAACCGGCCATTCTGTACCACGTGTTTACGAATGAGGAACTTTTGGCCTATACACTAACATTGATCATGCGCGTGTTTTGCAGGATGCTTCAACGGCGACATCGGGGATGCCCGTACGGCAACGCATCACAACATCTTAGCTGACCTCATGAAGGTCACTGACTGCTCGTTTCTAAATAAACTACCCGCGATTTCACCTGCGGCGATTCGTTAACCACTTCAGTAAGCCTGTAAAAGCACACCAGACTATGTTCCTTAGCTTAAAATGTAAAGTTCTCCCCGAAAAACAGGAGGTAGAAACCAATGACCATGGGAGGTTCACTTCGGGTAGCACACCAATAAGACCCAATCGCCGAAAACTGAAATGCTTACGCAACGGAGTGAAACTATTTTGTCAGACTACTCCACGAAAATCAAAACATCAACATGATTTAGTAAATAAGTTCTGTACCAATCCTAAACTGATTTACAGCACGTTAAAAAGCTCCGCAAAAGACTGTGAAGGGTCCTACCTCTAAACAAGTTTCGTAGGCAAGCGCCAACTGTGCAATGAGCAGCTAATGCTTTTAGACATCAATTCGCATCCACTTTCCATAACGTACAGTCATCTGATAACATAATCATACAGCTTACGTCATCACCATGAGTTAGCCATATCTCCCTCAACCTGCAGATGTGCTTATGCTTCTGCTGTCACTTCACGACTACAGTTCACTTGGTCCTGCCAAAAAGGATTACTATTCCTTGAAAGTAACCCCCATGTGCTTAGCTGAACCGGTAACGTAGTTTTTCATCGCTGTCTCAACAAGATGTTGGTTCCAACTGTGGGGAAGCGTTGACAACTTATTCCCAATTACAAGGGAGGTAACTGTGATTTATCCGCAATCTTCACTCCAATTATCCTTCTTCCGGGACTTGCTGAATTCATAGAATCTATAGCTTCAAAAACACTCTTGAGATTTGTAGAAATGTGTATTGTTATTGTGCAGGAGCGAACTAGCTTCCACCAAAACCATTCATATACCATTACCCTTTATTACCCGTGCCCACTGGAGGAATCCGTCGATTCTGGGGAAAGGAGTCGACATCGCCTACCTTAATTTCTCAGACTTTTGATCAGTTAGATCACCGCATCCTTCTCTACATGTTTTAGAGCTAGGGACCGGTGACCCGATTTTGGGACGGATACATTTATTACTACTCCAACGAAGCTTGCACGTGCTAGTTCGTAATGCGCTGCCCGACCCTATAGAGTTGCACTGTGGCGTTTTTCGAGGCTCGGCCATGGGATCACAGTTATTCCTTGTGTACATAACTGACCTCGCGGGAGTGTTGCGGTCGAACTTTCTACTCTTTGCGGACCATCTCAAGGTTTGACGGGCAATCACGGGAATGGACGACAAAATGGCATTGAATGGCTAGCTCGACAGGGCTTACCATTGATCGGCTCAAAACATGCGTGAGTTTAACCCTATCGAGTGTAAAGTAGTGAACAAACGCGACCAGAGGACTTACCAATAGGCGAACATTTTCTACAGCGCACTTCCCTTGAAAATGATCTTGGAGTGCCCGTGCAGAACAACCTCGAATGCCCAAGATAGACCAAATCAATGAAAAAATCTAGAAAGAAATTGAGCCTATCGCGAATTGTATTTAGCCAGTTTGATTCGAACTAATTCCTGCAAATGTTCAATGATTTTTCGAGGCCTTTTATAGACTACTGCGTCCAGGTATGACACTTGTCAAAAATATGGACTCTATGCTCTTGAGAATCCACACCGAAAGGTAGTTAAGATGTCGTGGGCTTGTACCACCACCCTTACCAGTTTTGACTAAAGACCCTCGGAGATTTCATTGGACAATATGCTCATCCACGATATGATCTTATATTGTTGTATCAAGTCCTCAAGGATCCTAATCATGTATGCTTAATTTCTGTGTGGCTCTGTCCCATCCCTACACTCCACGACCGACGGTTTTGTCTTGGTTTAGACTCTTCAGGTAGAGATAGCCGAGCTGGGAGTGGAACTAGACGCGTAGTGCTTGGCGGCCATCGCTATGATCACTACCTGATGAGTCTAAACCAAGACGAAACCGTCGGTCGTGGAGTGCAGGGACGGGAGAGAGCCACACCGAAACTCTCCACTTCGGTGACGGTCCCAGTGACCGTATTGGTGGAGGCTGACTTCAAAGTCAGCCGACGCCACTAGTGAGATTGCGCGTCGCAATCCAACACACACGGCGGGTTCTCCAAAAAACCCGAAAATCTACATATTTAATTTTATTGGAACTCAAATAGAGCACGCCACTGTGAGACAACTACATAAATCTGCCTACACAGTATAGCTGGCTGGAATGTCATCGGAAGGTTTTATTTATTTGTGCATCATAGACTTGGAAGTTTATTCTGCATGCTTTCTCCTCCGATCAAAGCTTAGCTGAACTCAAAACTCCACTTGATGATATAGTACACCGTCTGCATTAAGCGTGTTAACTTGCTATTGGGATACGGTTATCATGGCCACTCTGTGTGTACATGTGCAAAATTTGGGATACATTCGCTTTTGTTCTTATTAGTTGCCTACGGAAATTGGCAAGCCTTGTTTTTTATTCATGGTAAATACATCGTTCCATTGTCAGTGCCGTGTTGGTTCGATGGTACCTGCTTATTAATAGTGTGCTCCTTGGCAGTTAGAATTTCGTTGGAATCCGCATTTATAACGCACGCGTAATCCACTCCCACACCTACCAATCGAGTAACGACAGAGGTGGTTTGTGAAGTGCCAGCTGTCTGATGGCAAAATTCTGCCCGAAAGTTTTAACAATTGATTGTTTTTTGTTTCAGGGTGGCATGTATCTGTTTCAATTGTTCAATCACTACGCTGGTAGCTTAATTATTTTGCTAACTGCGTTCTTCGAATGCCTTGTGGTGGGTTATTTCTACGGTGAGTCAGCTTTTAGCAGCAAATGCGCGTTGCTATCTTAATGACATATGCTTATATTCCGAGGGTTCAACAGCTTACTAATTTGGTACCTGCGAAATTATTGCACCTACTTTTCCCATAGAAATGAAAATAAACGGAGTACCTGAAGCCACCGTGATTATAAGTAACTTTTGTCGCCGGATTGTTTATGAAGAAGCACTTGACAATTTGGTTCAGAATAACTCTAATACAGATTGCCGTACACATTGGGCAGTATCACTCTGGTGCAGCGAAAATTATATAAGGCTAAATAATGAGATTGTGGTTGGACGGGAAGGCTAAGAGGGATGGGGTGGGACAAAGAAACACACAGCACGAACGCCATTGAGGTGGCTCTTAACCATATCAGCAAGTGTGTCCAACCAAACGTGTTCATCGTCTTTCGGACCCCAACCAGGGAGCCGAGATGCTCCAACCGAGGCCAGCTCAGAAGTGAGAGCCTTCATTCCTCTTGACCAAGTCATCACTTGGCCAACCTCCTCTTCTTCTATCCACACCCCGGCGCGCAAACAACAAACGTCGCGGAAGTCGGTGGACTGGTATGCGTAACATGTGGCCAAGCCATCGGAGCCTGGTGCATGAAATAACCATGAAGAGCGGTTCATTTCCTTTTCCTGCGCCGTAAACAAGGCGTCGAACACGCTAGTTGCTCACGTGGTGTTCCCACCAGATGTGAGCTAAATTACGAAGACACCGGTGGTCAAACGTAACTAGCCTCTTCAGCTCCGCTGCTTTAAGCGGCTTCGTTTCACAACCGTGCAGTAGGGTCGAACGTACCACTGCATTGTACACTCTACTCTTCAGGGCAAAAGTGATGTTGCGCCGGCGCCATAACTGGCAAAGGTTAGCAAAAACGCCCCGAGATTTTGCCATACGGTTCGTGATCTCATCCTCAATCCCACGGGCGCTGATACAACTTCCCAGGTAGTTGAATTTTTGAACGACTTCTAGCTGATGCCCTCCAACGGTCAGTGTAGGAGGCGGTCCAGTCCAATCTTGGAGGAACCCTTTGCACTTCGAGGTTGCAAAACAAAGCCCGAATCGACGGACAGCTAGTGCTAATCTGTCCAGTGCCGCTTGACACGTTTGTGAGCTGTCACAGATTAAGGCAGAACCATCAGCATATTCTAAGTCAAGAAGTCATTCTCCTGGGTGCAGATCCACATCTTCTAAGTGATGTCCTGTAAACGCGATTTCCATGACTTCGTCAACAGCGAAGTTGAAGAGGAAAGGTGACAGCGGGCATTCTTGTCTCACACCGCTGGATATATTAAAGGGAGACGACAACTTGCCGTAAGCCCTCACTCTGCCCGAGCTACGCGCATATAATGCTCGGATGATATTCACTTATTTCGCAGGTACACCATTCCGGAGTAGACAGTCCCAAAGTGCAAGTCTATCCACCGAATCGAATGCACCTTTGATATCGAGGAACACGACAACGGTGGGCCGCCAATATATGTGACGGTGCTCCACCAACTGACGCAAGGTGAAGATGTGGTCAATGCAGCCACGACCTCGACGAAATCCATCTTGCTCTTCACGAATCTTGCTTTAACGAGTGCCAGTCAGTCTGTGAAGGATGACAGAGGCAAGCAATTTGGAGGTGATGGAGATCAGACTGATTCCGTTATGGTTGCCGTATTCCGATCCTGAGCCTCCCTTGAAAATTCGGACTATACTGGAGCGGCTCCAATCGGTTGGGACAGTTTCCTGCTCCCACAGTTTGACTAGTAACTCGTGTAAATTATCCACAAGAGCAGGTCCTCCCGAATTTGAAGAGGGCTGTAGCAAGATCATCAGGTCCCGCGGCTTTATTTAACTTGCAACCTTAATTAACAACCCAAACAAAGCCTACGTAATGCTCGCAACACTTGTTGGTCTCAAAGCACTTCGGAGATGGAGACGACAGTTTCCTTTGAAAATTTTCGCGAGCTTTTTCCGATCATCCGGACCAATGGTCACAGAAGGCCTTGCGTCAGTGAAGCTATTTGCGAGGCTGCTGGATCACCAAGCACTCGTTTGCGTAGGCTCCTGGAACGCTGCGCTAAGCACTTCCACTCTCAATTCTGCTGGCCTCGTCTTTCTGGTTGTTTAATAAGTACGTCTACTTGCGTGCTTTGTAAAGTTCCACTGGAACCACCCACCGAAGCAGAGGTCTGCTATGCCCTTCGTCACTTGAAGCCATTCAAAAATGTGCTAGCTCAAACTGATTTCCTCGGAGCTGTTCAAATACAGTGGCTGTTCGACTGGTGGGCGAATGGATTGGACGTCTGGATTGCAATCCTTAGGGCGTCGGTTGGAATCCGCGTAGGGGGGCGTCCTCGCGGTATACAGCCCCCACGCGATCGGTGGTGGTCGCATGGCAGAAGCGTCGGTACAGTCTGCTGGTATGCTGCTAATGACTGACGGTGGTGAGGCCATTGTCAACCAGATAACAGCTCTGTTCTCCAAAGGTTGGTATAAAAAAGATTCCATATTCTTGTGGTGAGTCGATCTTGGTGCCCATTTCCAAATGGAGGGCTTGTACCTCATGCATCAACCACAGAGGAATCAGTCATATATCAGTTGCCCGCAGATCGCTAACATCTATTATACGCCGCAGACAAACACCGATACGGAAACTACATTTTCATGAGAAACAGGCTGTTTTCTTCCCCCGTCGAGAGTGTGAGGACCAAGGATGCCCCTCCGCCAACTCCTCCAGCAGTGCTACTTTTAGTATTAGCTTAAAAATGTCGATATGTTTGAACGTCCGAACTGCGTTCAACTCCACCGATCGGCCTGCTTAATAGCGTTGTCTACAAAGCAAAGTGCTACCCAAAAATTATACAGCCATCCTTCGAGCTTTATACAACTATGTCTATGGCAGAATGCGAGCTAACCATAAGCTATCTACGTCTTTCGCCTTCACTAGCAGTGTGCGACACGGGTGCTCTACGTCCCCGTTTCTCTTCAACTTTGCGATTAACGACGTCCTATTCAGCACTCTGAAACGTCTCCGGGGTTCTGCTTTAGAGCTGGTTCCAGGCAAATGCGCAACCGAGTTGGACTATGCTGAAGATTTTGCCTTATTCTGTGACAAACTACGGATCATGCAGGTCCCTCTAAACCACTTGTTGATTGAAGTTGGTAAGTATGACATGACATTCGCTCCAATGAAAATCAAGATGCCCCTTCAGGGTTGGTATCCACCTGCGCTCGTGCTGCTTATTTCACACTTGCAGTTCGAACAATTAGATGACGTCATCTATCATGGACGTTGCGTTTCTTCTGAAGGCGCAAGTGACACATTTCTCTTCGTGTTGCCGAAGCGCGATCAGCTTTCTTTGATCTGAAACATCTGTGGCATCGTCGGGTCTAAAATGTTTGCATTCGCGCGGTACTGTTGTACGGAAGGGAGCCCTAGTCGATCTAGGTAAATGATTTGCGTCTGATTCTGTCCTCTGACAACGGTTATCTGCAGAGGATAGCTCCTGTCTGGTGGGAACACACTATTTGCAACGAGGATGCTATACGTCGTTTCCTGTGCGATACAGGCATACTTCTCGACAAGCTACTACCGCTACACCAACTGAGGTGGCTGGAGCACGTCCTACGCAAGTCGCGCTCTATTCGCTCTCGCAGGGCCGTGCTAATAGAAATCGCGCTGTGGTCAACCAACCACATGGCGACAAACGTCAGGGCTTTGACCTCCAGTCCAGCTGTTGTCGGTCCCATACTTCCTTCGTGTTAGGGATTCAAAGAGGAAGAATATCGCTGGTTGGAGACTCTTGAGAGCATGCAAAGTAATCGGGGACTACGGAAGATTGGTGTGTGTCTATGTATTGATTTTATTGCCCGACACCGTAAGCACTGCAATGGACAAGAAAGACCAAAGGGCGTGTGAAAAACAAAAAATTTTCTTCGTATATTTTTTTCATTTTGTTACCTCCGCACCTGTTATGCGCATACATTTCATGGTTTTAGATGGCACTATGTTAACTGTATAGGTGGTTTCTAATATGTTTTTTTTTGAGAACGATTATTGCAGGTTAGATTGGCCTATATATACCTCAACGAATAACCTATATGTTCACTTAGCAAAGCTAGTTGTAAAAAGTTGCTTTCACATGCCGTATTCCCGTTACTTTATCATTCCACAGGTGGCACAAATATTACTCGTGACTTGAGGCTTATGCACGGATTTAACCCGGGACCAATACCCATCATTTTCTGGTGCGTCATCACGCCGATCTTTACACTTGTGAGTCACCAGCAAGGTTATCTATTATATCACAGAAAAGTTTGTTTTTCAGGACATCATTATACAAGGTGTGTGATATAGGCAGGTTTTGTTACGTTATGTACCGTCTCAGGAGGTCCTCCGTACATGTTAGACTAATCGTTTCAGATACTCACAATGTGCCAGTTAAGTTTTGTTGAATGCGGAACTTGGGAAAACGAATAAGTAAACCATTGAACTGGTAATACGTTTCATATTAATTTTATTTATTGTGGGAGAAATATTGAACAAATAGTGCGAGTTACATTTACTCGCAGCACCACGTCACTCTAAGAAGCTACGCGTTGCCATCCAAAAGAATACAGGAATAATGTGCCTTTGTTTGAGTGCTCTAGTATACGTCATAGTTGCGAAAATTCGATTCCGAATTCTCCTGTCACTGTAATTGTGGACCTGAGAGCAGTTAAGTAGCCATGGCCTAGCAAGAAAAGAACATAGCAAGGGAATGACGACACCTTTCTAATTTCCCCTTTTGCTAGGTTATTTATACTGTTAGTAAATATCTTATTGACTGGTCGCTGAGGTTAGCACATACATTATGGCGTTAACTTTGAGGTAATCTTGAATTTTGCTCTTCACTGCCCTAGGCGGTTTAGTATATCTAATTTATTCTGCTAGTTTATTCCATATTTTTAAATGCAGTATAAGGGAAAGTATTTCTCCGCTTTGATAGGACACGGTGTATGAAATTCCATTGCACAGTTTCAAAATTTTTTGTTCACTAAACGCTACCTGCGTGGCAAGACTGATTGTTCCATATAGATTTCAAACCTTCCGTCTTAGCCCTCGTAGCCGTAAAGTATCGGGATTACACTCTCAACGCCGTTCACTCTGTGCAGAGTAGCAGATCATCCCATTGGACAATAAGTGAAATGTACATTTAATAACCCGCTGAGAAAACTTCCGCATATTAGGGTACACGCGTGAACAACATTCTAAAGTGGACGGAACAACACCAAAGAACATCTTAAATATGGGTTCACAAAGTCTCTACCCAATTTTTCATATACACAATAGTTAATGAATGCCTTGCTTATCGAGATGAGACGTTAATGAAGTTAAGTCATTTTTGGGTTCTGAACTAATGATGGTGTTTTGGATTGCGACGCGACTTACTTCTCTAATAGGACCACAGTTTAAACTGAAATAATCTCTCTCCACCTCGACTACTTGAACCGCATTTGCACTGGAGGGGTTTCAGTGTGGCTCCGGGACTAACACTGCATTCCACGACCTGACGGTTTCGTCTCCGTTTAGACTCTAGGTAGAGATATTTCGAGGTGGGATTAGAACGCGGCACATAGTAGTTGACACTAGGCGATTGAGCTCCGCCTGTTGCATTGGATACAGCAATTTGTATTCATCTGGAATGCTTCAAGGGATCTAAAGCCATTGATAGGAAATCCACGAGAATCCATCTCGTCTTACCAGATAGATGGTTTAAGCAACCCCAGCCATATTGTGTTCAATTGTACGGTATCAATTGAAACGCTTGAATAGCTAAGTACAGTATTCAATGGGCCTTACGCTGTATACACATTACATACAACTCATAAACTCGCATTATACACATAGTCTTGATGCTTTGTGTCGGTAACCAAGAATAAATTTGGCACATACATTGTGATTGACCTTAGGTTGAACACAAGTACTCGGCGAAACAATGAAACAGCAAAGAGTAAACGGCGAATTTCCCCAACCAAACTGCAAACCAAAGTGTCTTAATATCGGTATTTAATGGGGAAATTTGTAACTCGGAATGCAGATGAGGATTTCCCATCATTTATTTAATTGACCATTATTTACGTTCGCTACATTAGCAGCTTAGACAGCATCATCAGAATAAATTCAAGTGGGGCAAATCCCAATTTCCTGACTCTTTTTAATTCCCAATCGGAGATCACCCATTAGACTAGGTGAACCGATAGTGGGTTAGCAGATTGACCACATCCATCGTTCCACAAAGATTATTGATGGGTAAGTTCGCATGGCTTTGCAAGCAGCCTTTGGCTAAAGTGCACATTGGTTGAGTGCTACCACGAGACTCGAGGGTAAGCGAACTGAGAAGCTTTCTGACTTTTAGCCGTTCCTGTTATATTTGCCTTCGATAGATCAAAGTAGGGATTCCAAATTTTCATGTATAAACATTTGGGAATTCCTCTCATGTCGATGGAGTGCCAAGGTAAATTTATGACATTGTGCCAAGCCTCCTTCCTCCCTAGCCCATGTGACATTTGTCCCAGTTTTCTTCAGGCAGTTATATCCATTTCGTTGTCCCCTTCTTATTCACACTGCCTTATACTTTAAACTAATTGGCAGAAATCTTAACCGTTGATTTTCTAGCAAATTTGATACTTAACACCACCACTTCAGTAAACACCTACAGCTAAGCCAGAGTAAGCTTTTTCTTTTAAACTGCAGCTTTGAATGTGAGCTATGTTGACTCCACGGACGCTAAGTAATGTAGGAAGAGCCCATTAGGTGCAACTTTCTGGTGAATGGGTTAATCAGGTGGTTCTGTAGCCCCTTCCTCAGCTACGACTTGTTGCCATGTGTTTGGGCTGCTTTGAAATGTTTATAGGCAGTGCTTCAGGATTAGCTCCTGGCGCGTCGGCTTCCGATATATTTTTCTAATGGTCCGATGAGTGGTTGTAATGCGAACGTCCAGGAGGAGCAATGGGCCATTACTGTGTTGAAGTGGGTTCGGGTAAAAGGTTGTTGATTAGTTGATGTACATTTATAGCGTAGGTACCCTTACTTAAGCGCTCCAACTGCGCAGCGCGTTCATGTTGTTAGTTTTGCAAGCCGTCACTGTATTTGTATCAGCGATTGCACCACAACACCATTTCTTTTAAATTCAAATATGGCTTGCCAGTACAGTTTAATGTTGAAACCCAGCTGTGAGACAATAGATAAATCTTACAACTTTTCCATTTATCCAGTTTCGAATGTGCTGCTCTTACACGTCGTTTTGAATTACTCCGTCACAGGCACCATCATTTTTGTTGCAAATTTTGCTTTGAGAATGTGCATATTGATATTTAATTAAAAGAGGTCACGATTTGTACTATTACATCACTATTCCCTTGCGTATGGTGAAATAATGTCCGTCGAATGAACTGAAGGTTTTGTACCAACCATTCAATGATTTGGTCAATTCTGTAGTTCTTTAGCAAGAAACGTCATAGTGCTTCGAGTAATGACATAACATCTGAGGCAGCATCCTACTCTTGTGTGTGACACAAATACAGAAGCATAGGGTTAATTTCTGTTATATTGTAAGATCGTTATTTGGCCTGCATGCGTCAGGTTTTTCAGGATTATGTGGAAACCACTTTTCCTAGATTTTTGTAGTCTTTCTTTGCTGGCTGAGGGGTTCGCTTCTCCGAGCAATGCTTGCGCTTTCTTCGTGTATTCAGTTGTGACCATTATACTGATGCAAGCAGTAATAGTTTCGATTTTCAATGGATCTGCTAGTCCTGTTTTTGCATTGGTGCCGAGTAAGTTTGATTCATCTTTATGCTCAGAGCTAGTGTGATATCTTATTGGAATTCAGGTGGGATATTTCTTACTTTGATACTGATTGAAGAGTAGTAAGGAAGAGTGGTGCGATTAAGTTGCAATTGGGTTGCGTACCAAAGATAGTAGCTTCCCGTTTCCGCCACTTATGGATTACACAAGATAAATTCGTAATCCAAACGTCGTCTTCACTCGATGCCTTTTGTTATGAAAGGCAGGGGAGAGAGCTGAACGGCTAGAATACAGCTAGCGCAACTGGGCACCGATTGGGTCCACGTGTTTTGGATGAAATTTTGCAATCGGTATTGATCCCAAAGTGTTTATCAGACGCTCCTAGACAGAAGGAGCAGCCAACCCAGGTAACCGAATAGCACGACTGACCGAGTGGTGTGTGCAGGAGTGACACATTTGTACCCCTGGCACACACATTTTGGACAAAGTTCGAGTAATAGTAAACATTTATATCAGTGTAATCTTAACGCACAAAACTTCGGAATGAACCAATGATATAGAGAGGGGCACACAAATCGATCAATCAACAGCAGTCTGTCGGTCACTCGCGCAGGCTGTATGTAAAAGTTTATTATGTAGTATTGATTTAGATATTAGGTTCGATGGCGTTAACGACGCATCGTAATATTTACTGTCAGGATTATACAAGTCACAATCATTATTATTTTGTTTTCATTCATATATACACAACTTAACGAATACACGCCGGAATAGGAGGTCCATTTGTGTCGACGGGTGTAGTACACGCCATACGTGAGCGGTATTTAATCTCAGCGGTTATGAAAATTCAACATATTAACCACATAATAACAATCACATGTTACAAGATCTCGTTGAAGTACGGCGCGTTTTGTAGCACGTGCTCTGCTGATAGCGGCACCATTAAATTGGCTAATTTGGAGTATTTGATGATTCTGCCCTATTGACAATCCAACACTCCAAGGAAGCAAGTGAAACAGCTTAAAAGGATGTGGCCGTTCGCCAATGTGAATCGAGGGATGGCAAGAAATTTGAGCCCCTCCACCTTCTAGAGCAACATGCGTAAATATGACTAACGGTCAGCCAGTTGAAATACATCTAACCTCCATATAACTTCCGTTGTAATTAGGTGGTTTCCGTACCTTCTCGACCCACTGAGCTATACTGAGTGGGACCCTCAGGCCTCTTCAGATCTATTCCTACCAGGTTGCTCAATGGTTAGATTTTATATGAAATCAGTCTTCTGGTCCTCCATGCTGGGGTCGGGAATTGGATGGGGTCCACTTTTCTAAAGCCAAATCATTGCTACATCCCCGATGCCTCGTGAATAGGCTTTAGAGCCAACGGCTGTGGTTGAGGACCCTAGTTGTTCTCCTGTCTGGTTCTTGGCGCCTTGGCAGTCTCTCAGCCCACGTAAAATCATGAGTTTTTCAGTCACCCTGCATTGATCG